GCCGGAAACTGCTTATGTTGGCTACGACAAAGAGCCCGAAAATGCTTATGTTCGCTATGACGAGGTGGTACCCTCGAGCTACAACAGAGAGATGAACGTCTCTAATGAAGTTGAGAACCGAGTGAAATCGTCATACAACGACCAATATTGTCGATCTTCAAGCAGTTATAGGGAGAGTTACAAGACACAAGAGCATGTGGACAAGCGCACTGGGCAGATGGGTTACAAGGAAGAGGAAAAGTACACCTACAACCAAAAGTATGTGGACAAGGAGCAAGGCTACACCTTTGAGCGTGAGACCCAAGTCAAGTTCAAGGACTCTGTCTACCCTAACAAGTCTGCAACCAAGTCAAACAATAGTCGCATCAAGTATTAGCTAATAGCTAGTAGTATTTTGTGTATTTGGATTTCCTTTTTATTTGCTATTTTTGGTTTTTGTCTCTTTTTTTATGATAGTTTGTTATGAATTGATTTCATAATTATCTTTTAGTAAAATATTATTGTTTGTCCGTTTAGTTTACCTTTTATCACTTTGGGTTCCGTAGTTGTAATTTGGTCACTTTTGTCGATGTAGTTTTAAATCTCTTGCAATTCAAGGACACGTTACAAATTTTATCAAATTTTCTTCCAAATCTGTTAAAATACCCCGTGTCCTTGAATTGCGAGGATGATCAAACTACACAGGTCATCTTTCTTTTTCTTTTCAGTCTTTGCCTGACACTTTGGTATCACAAGGGGATGGGATTACGATGTGTTTTTCCCATAAAATTTTTGTTTCTATTTTTTCTTTTAAAAATATAAGCGACATTGTAAATTAATCTAATGTATGGGAAGGGGTAGAGGGGGCGGGCACACACATTGCATTTACATTTTCGTTTCAATTTTTTAGTTGATGAATACAATGGTTTAAATGAGTTCATTCTCATGAAAAAAAAGCTTTATTTAACTGTCGAATATATCTTATTTTAGTTACTGTTATCATACGTAATAGTTTGTATGTGTTTGGAAGGGCATTGAGAGGAGAAACCAAAGTGGGATTGTTGGATCTGCTAACTGTTTATTCAACCATTTTGCATCTTTCGTGAATTAAGTGGTAGGTTTAGTAATTTTAGGCTAATATGATGGATTTGAAGTCGAGAATCAAGGTGCCTTGCTTAGACTCAAGGCATGTTCTTGGTTTCTTTCCTTTTCTTTTAACTTAATTGGAGTAATTCTTTTCCCATTATTTGGTACTAGAACTTGAAGGAAAATGGACTAAACTCACCGTCAACCATTAAAATCATCCCGTCATCAATGTGCGAAGTAGATTCGATAAATTGTTTGGAATTGAAAGATATTCTTTCCTTTTCTTTTTACTTGAGCCAAAAAAAATTCTCTATTTGTGGCTTTTCCCCTATTGTCAATCACTTTTGACAAAATTCCAATTAACACTTACTTGACAAAATCAAAAGAGCCAATGGAGTTTAGCACAATGAAAAGAGAGCCTTAAGTTGTAGTAATTTCTCCTTAACTTGTAGACCAAGTTCGAACTCTCATGACACTTTGGTACGTAGCGTGTGAGAAACCCCTTACTCTTAATATAGACTATCGCTTTTATTAATTTTTTTTTTAAAAGGAAAAAAAAACTAATATTATAAGAGTATAATTAATAGTAATTAGCAACAAAAAGGAACATAAGCCAATGAGGGTTGGTTCAGTTGGTAAGGTCCATGTACTGTGTAATCCTCATTTAATTAATAATTTCAATTCTTAATGTTTGCATTAACCAAAGACATTTTTTGGTATTTTAAATGTTTTACCATTTTCTGCCTTTTGTGCTATATATAGATTCTTATGTATAGAGAAAAATCAATATTTTATGCTTTTGGTTGACAAAGAAAGAGTTATCAAAATTGTTTGATAGAAATTTTTCTCTAAACGATAAAAGGATAAATTAGGGATGAACAAATCATTGAATAGATAAATAAATTAAAAAAAACTAAAACGGAAAATAAATGGATAATGCAAACCGTGACACAGAAGTTTTACAGTTTACTCCTATATCGTGGCTTATAAATAAAGCCTTGAAACCTCCACCCCCTTTCTATCACAGAAACACGACACCCCCACTATCGATATCAAGTAACATCTCCTGACTTCTTGCGTGTATTTATTTCTGCAATGTTAAAATATATATATATATATATAATAGATAGAAAGCCCTATGAAAGAAGATAAAAGATTAAGATAATAAGAAAACAATTTAGTAGATAAAAAGTCCAAAAACAGAAAATAATAAATGGATAAAACCAAACCGTTACGTAGTTACATGCAGTTCACTCCTCTCCTGGCTTATAAATAGGCCAAACCAAGCCATTTCCATTTCACAAAAAAACCAACCAAACTCTCTATCGCATAATGGCCAAAAACTATGAAGTTATTGGTTTTTGTGGCATTGTGGAGGCCGTGCCCTCAAGCAACAACAACAGGCAGCAGATGAACGTCTCCAATGAGGTCCAGAACCAAGTGAGGTCTTCGTACAAAGACCAATATGGAGGGTCCTCGAGCAATTCCACACAGAGCTACAAGGCACGAGAGTACGTGGACAAGCGATCGGGGCAGACGGTTTACAAGCAGGAGGCTAAGTACACTTGCAATGACAAGTTTGTGGACAAGCAGCAAGGGGTCACTACAGAGTACAAAACCCAGTTGAAGGTAACCAAGTCTGTTTACCCTAACAAGGGTTCCAGCAGCAAGTCCAGCAACAACCGCATCAACTATTATTAATTAGTTTGCTTTTTATTTATGTTTTATTTGGATTAATTTCCTTGCTATTTTCTATTTTCCATTAATTATGAACTTATTTCGTTGTCCTTATTAGTAAGTAATGAGTATTTTCTGTCTTTCTTATTGTTCTTATGGTTTTTTTGTTTTTTTTTTTTGGCACGATTGGTTCAACTTTTTCCTTTCGTGATTGACAGAATTAAATTCTTTTCTTCTGACATTTGCTATCGCTTATGTAGGTTGAGAATATGAAATTGACCTATTAATTTTTCAATTGATACAAGGTTATTTCTCAGGGAAAAAAGCCTTTAATATATATATATTTTTCACGGCAAGGGAAGATAAATTTTTTATTTTTTTTATAAAAAAAAGTTTAGGGGAAAATTGGCTACTCTCACTAGTATAGATTTATGTAGGAAATTACAGATTGCACACCAACGAGGACTGCTAGTAGCGGGACTCGAACACTAATGGGGCTAAACACAATGCAGGGACCTTACCACTGGCGGGGAAGATAAATTTTGATGAGATAAATAAAGATATAAATTATAATGTTAATGCTTATATCTCTGTCCATGCATAGGTTAAGGCAAGGGAAAGTGAAGTTGCTATTGCTAAATTTACTACTTAGAATTGCGTAGAACATTAAAGAAAATGACAACGGGCCATGCCAATAATTGTTTCATTTGAGCAATTTCAATGCTAGGCTACAAGACAAAAAAAAATTGCAGCCCATCAAATTTGGGCCTATGTGGATTTTGTCACTCGTACGGTTGGAACTAGGACAAAGGCACTTAATTTTTCTTGATCACTCACACCTGGCGAGTCCTAGTTCCACTAGAAATATTTACTCAAGCTCAATAGAACAATGAATTCCAAACATACCCAAATAGGACTCAAAACACTATAGCAGGAAACAATTCTGCAAATTTCAAGCGAAGTTAATTATCACACACTTGAAAAACAACCTTTACAAAACTCACTTATGAAACTTCAAGAAAGATCCACCTTGCTTGAATAAACATTAAAACTAAAATTGGTACTTCTCTAATTTGAGCAGTAAAACATTGCTAATGTCACAACTTTGATGTAGAACACTTAGGGGAAGTGATCGAAAAAGAATTAGAGTGACGCTAGCATAGGGGCATATCAGGTAAATTGTAAGTTTTGGCGCCGAGCTCCGATTTCAGCCCATGATCCAATGTTTCTAAGAGAATAATGTCACGAGTCAAATTCACTGCTTTGTTGTGACATATGGGCTTTTTTGGGGCAGTTAATGACGTTTACTAGCCCAAAACAACATTTTAAGTTTTGATTCCCTTTTTGAAAGTTTTGTTATTTATGTTTTTCATTCCTATTTGGATTCCTAGAGGTTCTAGGGTTTGAGGCAGTATTCATTTTAACTTTAGCTAAGGGTTTAGGTTGTTATCCCGATTTTCAGAATTCATAGAACTTCACACTTTTGTCATATCTCCAGTGGATTCCAGTGTTCATGGTTATTGAGGCTATCGTTTGATTGCCTTTGTTTGTAATGATGCGTCAAACATGATTGATTCAAAGCGTAACTTGACTATGATACCAATTGATAACCTCAATAATAGACATACTTAGTCTTTAGAAAACTGGTGAATTAGCAAGGAAGGGATGACTAAGAGTTATCATGAGTCGAAACTATTTTTATTTTCCAAGGTGGGATATTGGGATCTAATAGATATAAATCACCTTTCAAGTTTTAATCAAGGACCTGCAGTTATCAGTTATGCAAGTCTTTGCTGGTCAATCGTCTACTTTGTGCTGTGCTTTGAGGTCTTGCTCTTATAGAGAAGTTGCAAGGGGATATGGAATTTGCAACAAAACAAAGCATCTTTGTCATACGAAAGTGTCCGAAGAGAATGACCCACTTAATCTCTGCTAGTTCTTCTCACCATATTATTGCGAACTCTCATTAAAAATGGATTTCGTGAGGGTGATTGGATCTTGGGAGCTACTACTAGCTAGGGCATTCCAAATGGTACTAGTTCAAAGGAACCTCTTGGTTGTTTTACTCGCAATCTATAAATAGTAGGGGAATATATTGTTAAGCAGTACTGAACCACTAGCTAGCTAGCTAGCATGCAATCAGAAATTAATATATGTGTTCTCTTTGTGAGCATCTACTTAAAGCTTGCACGACTTTTGTGAATGTCAAACAGATTTGGCAACACAATAAAAAGATATTGACATTATTTTTCAAACAATTTACAAAACACATGCATGGCATCATATATTTCAGTTCCGTCTTTGCCCTAGGCATATTCTTATGACCTTGAAAAATTACCATACCCAACTTCCTATAAAACTATTTGAACCACATATGTCAACCAGATTGTAGACTGCATCTTTGATAGAAGTATGACCCACTCATATTTGTGGGTTCGTCTTCTATTAGTGGCACAGTCTCCAATACAGTTCATAAATGTGGTCTATATAACGTTACTTGTCCCTATCACTCATAACTACAGGTTGTAACGCAATTCATAATCTTGAAACATCCCTTGAGACTGGAGAACAGAAGTAGAATCCCAGGAGTTTGAGGATGCAGATTTGGCATCAAACTCATTAGCCCACCACACCAAGCTGTCCTTGGGGCCATTCATTTCCTTAAAACAATCAAATTCAGCAATTTGATCATCTTCCTGTTGTGGTGTGTAAGCAACAGATTTGTTACTAAGAATGTCACCAAATTCAGTTTGGAAGCTCGAATTAACCTGCTGATGATCATGAGTTCCTGCATCGTTCGAATGCTCCATACCATCGGCAGCTTCCGTCACCACAATAGTCGAGTCCACTTGATTGCTTGTGGAGATGAAAGCATGATATGCGGCGTCCGAGCATGACATGCCATTCAAAGCATTCTCCAACTCATCCATATTCTTGGGGTTGCATAGTTTTGCATATTCTTCCTGAATTCTGATAGAAGCAGAAGTGGGTTGCAGTTGTTCATAGACATCACTATTACTCTTATGCCCTTCAACTGTTTGATGAGGGCTTGAGAGAGCGTGATGGTGCATCAGAGGGTTACAGTTTTGATCATTCATGGATCGGAGGGTCTGGATCATCTTTTCTTGCAAAGGATGCAACTTGGGCCACAGTGCAGGAGTGTTGTAGAAAGAGAAAGGGTTTTGAAGGCTTTGAAGTTGCATATGGAGTTGGAGTCTTTCAAGGGCTGAGCTGCTTAAGGCATGTGCATCTTCAGCGTCCTTGAGGTGATCCTCACTTTGACCAGACGGCGATCGATTGATGTTAGACTGTTTGCGCCTTCCGAGTAACTTTTTCTTCAATCGGGTGTTCCAGTAGTTCTTTATATCATTGTCTGTCCTTCCAGGTAATTGGGCAGCAATTATAGACCACCTAAAGGTAAAAGAATATGAGCATGTTAGATTCCAACAAGAAGAAACTAAGGAAACCCTAGGAAAGTGGATCAATGATCTGTATTGTACTATTGGATGAGATGCATAGGCTAGCAAGGAGTTATAATTAATTATTTCTGCTGTGAAAGTATCATAGACAAGGGAAAAGAGACAACATATTGAGGTTAAAGTTTTATGGGTGAAATTAATTTTTACCTGCTTCCAATACTTATATAGAGGTTGCAGATGATGTTGTCTTCTTCTTCTGAGAATCCACCATGCTTGATGTTGGGCCTCAAGTAATTCAGCCATCTCAGCCTGCAACTTTTTCCACATCTTTTAAGCCCTGCAAGTTACGTACCCATCAAAGGGTCAAATTAAATGATGCTTTGAAATCTGTGTACAAGTTTCTAAACAAAAATTAAGAACAAATTATGTCATAGATGAGCATATATGTGTTTACCAATTTTCTGAGGAAGGGCAATCCAGTTGCCACCAGTACCATGCTCTTCAATATAGGCCTTGAGTCTTGCATCCTCTTCAGGTGACCATGGTCCCTTCTTGACATTGGCCTTGTCACAGCACGGAGCCCGTCCCATCTCGATCGATCTCTTCTCTTCGTTCCTTTTTTCCTTTTTAAGATCTTCAAGGAAAGTGAGTACCAAAAGAAGGCTGTCTGAGATTGTTAGGAAAGAATAGGAAGGAAGACTAAGATTTATAGGTAGGAAGAGTGGATGATGTGATGCTTATGAGGACAAAAAAGTCAAATACCTCTACTCATCTATCCCTCTCCTCACTATTCAACCCGAATTTTCTTCTCTAGGGTTTGATCAAGCTCTCTCTCTCTCTCTCTCTCTCTCTCTCTCTCTCTCTCTCTCTCTCTCTCTCTCTCTCTCTCTCTCTCTCTCTCTCTCTCTCTCTCTCTCTCTCTCTCTCTCTCTCTCTCTCTCTCTCTCTCTCTCTCTCTCTCTCTCTCTCTCTCTCTCTCTCTCTCTCTCTCTCTCTCTCTCTCTCTCTCTCTCTCTCTCTCTCTCTCTCTCTCTCTCTCTCTCTCTCTCTCTCTCTCTCTCTCTCTCTCTCTCTCTCTCTCTCTCTCTCTCTCTCTCTCTCTCTCTCTCTCTCTCTCTCTCTCTCTCTCTCTCTCTCTCTCTCTCTCTCTCTCTCTCTCTCTCTCTCTCTCTCTCTCTCTCTCTCTCTCTCTCTCTCTCTCTCTCTCTCTCTCTCTCTCTCTCTCTCTCTCTCTCTCTCTCTCTCTCTCTCTCTCTCTCTCTCTCTCTCTCTCTCTCTCTCTCTCTCTCTCTCTCTCTCTCTCTCTCTCTCTCTCTCTCTCTCTCTCTCTCTCTCTCTCTCTCTCTCTCTCTCTCTCTCTCTCTCTCTCTCTCTCTCTCTCTCTCTCTCTCTCTCTCTCTGGATTAGTTCGATCATATATAATTAATAATGCATGCAACTGGACAAAGTACGACACAAGTTTCTTCTTTCCCAATATTAAATTAAACTGCTTTTTTCCGGGATTAGTTGTTTATTATTTGAATCTGGTGAATCACAAGAAGCCTCCATCCTATTAATTATCCCTTGAAATGTTCCATTCTTTCCCAAATGCCTTAACCTATATAGCTTTTCTGATATATTGTTAGATTAAACATATAAACAGTCTGCAGGAAAATGCTGGCTGCAAAATTTTTTCAATTTAATAAGGCATTTGGGATAAAATAATAAAATTGAAACAGTATAATTGTGGGGTTAAGGACCGTAATCACTGTGATTAGCCGACTAATATGACCGAAATTGAGTGTAACTTTATAGAAACTATACCATGATTTTCGTTGGAAGTTTCTTCTAAATAATCACAGCTGACGACTTTGATTAGTCTGCAATCAAATATGTAAAGTCAGATATTTCGTGTAGTAACGGAAAACTAGGAAACTTCTGCAAGAACTTTGTCACAGACCTAAATGTGTTTACCTAAGCTGGTGTTGACAATGTTGGGAAATTAAGGGTAAACATTTCTTAATTAATGAGTACGAAAATGTTGGAAATAGTACTTTCATTTGTACTTAAGTTGAAAAGAAGAGAGCGCTAATTGTTCATCTTGTTGCTTCTATACTTTATTGTTCTATCTCCAAATATCCACCTTTCTCGATCTATTTTCTGAAATATTATCCAGATTGTATTTCTCAAATATTTTTTTGTCAGGCCAGTTCTACTATTTCCGAGATTAATTGAATAGTAATTATTGATGAAAAAACAAAAGTACAAAGCTATTCTGTCGAATATGGGTAAATTTTCTCGAGTGACAAAATGCAACAGCAAGTACTATTTATTAATATTACTGGTGGTATTTATCTGGTTACCAATTTTACTAGTACTGGTTGTGACCAGCACAAAATGAAAGAACTGAAATTAAATTAAGAACATAGTTGGTGGAAGGTTCTAGAAAAAATCTGCTACATATTCAGGTGAAGTTGAATTGTATTCATTCTTATCCTTTTACATGTTTCTCAATATTTGGCATTTCAAACTAGCTGGCTAGCTACCACACAAAGTAATGATAACAAACTGATTGGAATTCAAACTCTTGCTGAGGAAAATAAGCAGTTATTAGATTTTCATAGTGCAAAGAAGCTGGTGCATAATGATATCCATCCCCCTTGACTTGTAAGTGACAAGGGGTTTCTCTCAGTTGGTACAGGAAAGTCCATGCCCTTGGACTAAAAATATAAGAGCCTATCATAAGCTAAAACAGATTTGAAGGTTTCAAATGCCTTGTGTCATCTCCACCAAAACCTACATACAACTAGCAGAACTTGTTGGCGTGACTTGTGGATCATTGACTTTTTTTTCTTACACACCAAGGATTCCCATTATAATTATATTTGATTTAGTTTAATTCTTGATTTCCTATTGTAAATAGAAATAGGAATTTATTATTTATTTGCCCATTCAGGTTTTGTTGTATTATAAATATGACCTCCCACAAGGAGAAAAATACACAGAAAATTCCCACAAACAAATATTCTCTCATAGTTCTCATATTTTAGCAGAACTTACCTTGATCATGAACTACTTGTAGTTGACCATGAAAATCCTTTTGGAAAATGGAAAAAATACAAAGAAGATGAGAAAGTTGCCTAATAGCATTGTTAAAGTGAAACCGTTCTACTTGTCTGTATATTGTTCTCATATTATTTTCACTATTAAGAAGAAAAAAAAACCCAGTAAAGCCTAGTTTTGCTAGAAAAGCCCTAAGGTACAAGTTGGATAGGGGCCGTAGGATTTATATTAAACAGGAAAAAGGCAGTATTATAATAAACAAGAGAAAAGGAATTTAAAAAAACAAAGGAAAAGGCATAGGGATTTCAAACCTTTTAAAATAAACACCACTGATTGACCTTGTTTATTACATAATTTAATGTGTTAATGACTTTCTTAATCAAGGTTGACCCAGTAAAGCCTAGTTTTGCTAGAAAAGCCCTAAGGCACAAGTTGGATAGGGGCCGTAGGATTTATATTAAACAGGAAAAAGGCAGTATTATAATAAACAAGAGAAAAGGAATTTAAAAAAACAAAGGAAAAGGCATAGGGATTTCAAACCTTTTAAAATAAACACCACTGATTGACCTTGTTTATTACATAATTTAATGTGTTAATGACTTTCTTAATCAAGGTTGAGAAAGAGGGAGGTCCAGAACCCCAACCACGGAGAAATAACAAGAGGAAACTATCAAAATTCAAAAAGCACTCCCTCAAAATATTAATTTCTTAATCACCAAATGGACTCAGATCTTTGAGAGAAAGAAAACAAGCTTCTGCTTGTCTTTCTCTGGACTTTAGAATCTCTGCATTGACGCTGCAATTCCATCCTCTAGCCAAAAAGAAAGAATGAGAAATTATAAATAAATAAATATATATATATATATATATATTAAAAAGAAAGAAAGAAAGGTTACATTTCATCATCAAGAAGACCAACCCTCATCAAGACTATTGTAATAGAGCTGGTAAAGATGGTCCTAATAACAGGATAAACATGGACTCTCTGTGCTTAAATACATAAATTAATATGGTATTATTGGTTGGTGCTAGCTACTGCTAGTGCTAGCTAGCTCAATTGATTTCTTAAAGTATATTTTGAAATGAATTTGACTTGCTAGCTAGGCCCTCTTGGTCTAACAGTGTAACAATTATATGTGGCACATACTAATTGACTTTTTGTTGGGTTATGAACTACAAATACTACTTGCCTCCTTTCTTATAAGGAGATACGAATCACAGTTTGACATATACGCAAAAATAATTCATCAAAAACACAAAAAGAAAAACTTCTGCACACATGTCACACTTGTTATTAGCTAGAATATATGAGCTCCTACTTACATGGTAAGGAGAAAAGTATTTTCCATGAAGATACGATACTCTTGTTGGGTTCAGTTACCAATGTTAATGGTGTACCCCACATGTATTGTCTTCCATATATGTATGGTGAGAAAGAAATCCAAGTTATACATAATTGTGGCAAAGTCCAATCAATATTCTGAATCCAAAGAGTACAGACTTCTGGTTTCAACACCCTCTACAGTTTCGAAGTCATTTCATTTTGCCCTATGCTAGTGCCCACATGATATGCAGAAATTTAGCATTTTTCTCAAAGTATGTTAAGATAAAACAATTTTTGTTCAGAAGTCAGAAAAGTGATCTATATAGATCTTCATTGTGTAATCTCTAAAGGTTGTTGTAGTGGTTATAAGTCCTGTCACCTCCTTATAAAATTCTTGTAACTATTTAACTTTTCATGAAATTTGTTGTTTCTTTTTGGTTTTAATTTAGACAGGTCATTATGATTAGTCATCTTGTACAGAGATAAATCTGCAGTAAATTAGGAAATTAAATTCAAGACTAAGTCCAAGATTACTTCTTGTGTATTATTTGTAAAACTCATCTTGCAGTCGAAGACTTTTAGATTTCCTTGTAATCTTAGGTTTTTTTGTGTATCGAATCGAGTAGTGTAGAGAAAGTTTTGTAAGTATTGTGTAATGATTCAATGAAAGATTGGCTCAGTGGCCTCATGATCTCATTCTCATTCTTTTCTTGTCTCCTCATTATTCTTTCAAATTAACCAGCAACAACTTGCTACCAGCTGCATACACAGTCTTAGCATTGTTTCATACATCAGTAAATATCTGATGATTAGGAGTAGAAAACATTGGATACTGGTTCTTAGGTAATTGTAAGCATATTTGTGTTGCCCTTAACACATGTCACCCAGCCAGCAAATAGCTTTCAGTCTATTAAGAAGAATTAAGATAAGGGTGACTTTCACTTAAAGCATGTATAAAGAATTGGAAGCTTGAGCTTTGTATAATACCTATATCGTCACAAGGGTTGACAAATTACGATGCGAAGGAGGACTTGCAATAACATAATTAACATCAAATGCATTTTCAATAATCCACAACGAGACAGCAAAGACCAATTGATTAAGCTTGACAAATGCCTCTTAATTATAAATTATTGAAGCTGTTGCTATCTTTGAGTCCTCCATGCACTTTATGTAAAATGATGCGCAAAGACGCTACAAATGGACGCAGTTGCTGAGCTCATACCAGTCTCAAGTCTCTCTGCCCCATCCTTCAAGTCATCAACAATTGTCAAACTG